TCCATTTTCCTCGCCGACCTTGATACTCGGTTACTGCAGCCGAATATGTTGTAGCGCATTGGTGTGACGATGTAGCTCTAGCTGAAGGCTGTGCAAGAGATGAGGGGCAGATGCGGAAGATAGACTAGAGCGGCCCGCGTAAGAGTCTACTAGACTGGAAGTACTACGACTAGGCGTGGTAGTCAGCTGCCATGAACTGATCCCCAGTCGGAGATGTCGTTTAAGTTGTTAGCCACTTGCTAGCAGTCTCGGAGATAGAAGGCGCATCTTGGACGATGCCGTCAAGCGTAGCCACTTCCCCTGCTGCGTGTCACCTAGTCCCGATGCGGTTAGCGACCGCGGGGTAAATGCTCAGGTCCGCAGTCCAGGGTCCTTCAGCTGCCCAGCCTTGGAGCAGATCATCTTGCACGACTGAAGCCAAGAGAAATAACCCAGATCGCGCATCATCAGCTGTAGATCCCATGGCTTCGCTGCCGCCTGTACGCGCCTGCATCTTCGATGTAGACGGCACGCTCATCAACTCAGAAGACATCTACACAGATATCTACAACAACATACTGCGCGAGTACGGAAGACCAGATTATCCATGGGCTATCAAGGCGACGCAGCAAAGCAGAGGCACAAAGGTCTGTGTTTTCCAGCCCTATGATTCTGTATTGTCGTGCTAATGCTTAGGGCAGGGTACCAAGCGCTTACTAGACTGGGCACAGGTACCCCTCACGCCGGCTGAATGGTCTGCGAAGGAGAGAGGGTTTACACATCTCTTCGAGAACAGTAAGGTGCTTCCAGGTGTTGAAACTCTCCTCTCAACCCTGAAAGCGAAGACATCACCGCCTGTGCTGCTTTCGTTAGCTAGTTCAGCTGGGCAACAGAAGTTTGCACTAAAGACATCGCATATACCCGCTATCAATGCGGCGTTTGATGATCCAGCCTTCCACGTCTTCGGCGATGATCCGGAGATGTCTGATAGCAAGAAGAAGCCAGAGCCTGATATCTTTCTCCTCGCTTTGAAGAGGTTGAACGCGGCTGAGACAGCACGCGGTGAGCGCACATTGAAGCCTGCAGAGTGCTTAGTGTTTGAGGACTCAATAGCAGGTGTGGAGGCAGCGAGAAGGGCGGGTATGCGAGTCGTTTGGGTGCCACATCCCGGGCTTGCTGAGGTTTGCAAAGGGCGGGAAATGGATGTTCTCATGGGAAGGACGGAGGAAGATGGCATCGTGCCTGAATATGGAACGCCAGTAGAGGGAGATGCGAAGAGTCCATTTGTCACGGAAGAAGGCCGATTTATGTCGGATGATGGTATGGCGGAGCTGAGGGTTAGTCTCGATGAATTTCCGTATGCTGCGTATGGTATCAATGTAGCAAGATGAGTTAGAGGCGATCGCTTTCGTGCGCATCTACAGACATGGCGAGGCATGGTTACTTTACTTCAGGGAAACCATGCAACGCTCGTATCAATACTCGTGTGATCATATAATTTGTGCAAATGTTTGTTATTGTTAAGTGGACTGATCATCAGAAGGCGGGCAACGAAGTAAAGGGGTCTGCTTAGTCAGCATTGGAAGCTACACAGTAGCCCCGCCGGGCAGAGAATTGCCGACGGTTTGTCGCAGCCCGTGGACTGTCGGCCGTCAGCCATCATCCATTCCAAGATTCTCATCAAATGCAACAACGTGCTGTTATCATGCGCTCACGTTTATCTTGATGCGACTGACTGCCTCACAATCAATACCTCCCAGCAAACGAAACGCGTATTAACGAGCTTGCGAGTGCACGGCAAGATGTTCGTCAAAGTAGCAGCCTCCCAAAGCCTCATCCTCTTTCTGCGCACCAGCCTCCACATCATCGCTATTTTCGTCAACTGTCGTGCTTCAATAATTCTGCAGCACCTTGCCGACCGTATCTTGTTCCGAGAGCTTCTCCATCGTGGCTTGCAGATCGTCCGGGCAGAAGAGCTGACATAGGGTACTCATATCATCGAACACGACTTGGCGCTGCTGTGACTCGGGGACATACATCGCATTGCCGATGTTGAAAGTTAACGAATACAGACGATTACGCGCATCCCAATCTTCGACAGGCTCGGACACTGGAAAGTGGCATTTGTAGTTGTCGATATACGCCTTCCCACTCACGCGGTGGCGCGGTGCTCTCCAGTTGCCAATATCGTACTCGTTGTGCCCGTAGAAGGAAGCCACATCGAAAACGAAAGCCTCGCCAGTCTTGGCGTCGATCGCCGTGTTACCGTCCCAGCAATCGCCGTGGATTAGGCACGGCTTCAGGATCCGGCCTTCTTCTTGGAGAGGTAACAAAAGACGTGGCACCACCTTTCGAAGCGTAAGATCGCACATGGCATCGAAAGCTGGCCAATTGAGGACTGGCTTTGCCAGATCCATGACATGACCTAGGTGCAGCCTGAACAGGGTACACCAGGAGCCTTCCCATGTATCGACAGCCTGGGTTATTCGCCCATGGCACGTCGAGAGATGGAAGCCGAATTTGCCAGTCGGGGATACAGTTCGTAGATGCATATCCGCTAGTCCTTTGGCCAATCTGACCGGATCTGCAGGCTGTTTGCATCAGCATGTGGACATCCTTGAGAACCGCAATACCCATACCTGCTTTTCTATGTCTCGAAACGCCGCGAGTAAGAAATGGGCCGTTGACCCGTTCTCTTCAATCTCTCCCCAGGCGTAGGGTCGTGGGACAAACGAAGGCGAAATCGCGTAGATTGCTTTGAGCGATTCGTATTCGCTTTCGCACATGCGCCTTCCCACTGATCCCAGAGATACGACCTGGCATTCATTAGCAACAACTTTCTGAGGGATCCTTTGCAAGGAGCCATGCCTTTAGGAAGTAGTTGTCAGTCACTCCCGTAGGCAGTCGCACAACGATCTTGGCGGTTTTGCCCCATAGCGATTTATAGTAGTTGAAGGCGTTAATGACCTCAGTTCCAGCGATGGGAAAAGCTTGTATAAAGTGAGTATGATGCGAAAACTTGTCATGCCAGTATTACCTTCTATAACTTGCTTGTCTACCTTGCAGGATCCACTAACCTGCGGTAGTGTCAGAGAGTCAGTCGGCGTCTCGTCAGTATCTGCACACGGGTCGCTAGTGGTGTTTACAGGCATGATACAGAGCTTTTGCGCGACTGTGTCAGGTATAATGATCCTGTGATGATATGCGGTCAATAGTGGCTAGAGTGATGCGTGTCAGGCGCTGTAGCGTGCAACAACTCTCTGGTGCGGTTTTCGTATGTCTTTCCCGAGACTTCATCGACGAGGACAAAGCTTTGGGGTGCGGGGTTGACGAAAGGGGAAGTCAATCGATCGATTAGATATGTAAGGAGAAGCGCACGTCTGTGGCGCGGTAGAGGGGCAGTCGCGAGCTGATGTACCCCACAAATGAGAAATGCATGAAGTGTCGCAGAGCCAACATCGTTATTCATGTGAAGATGGTCTGCGAATTCCATCGCTCGTCGCTTTCAGTGAAGCTGACTATAGGAAAGCCCAGTCTGTTTACCCTCAGCCTCAGGACACCTTTTGGGCTGTTGCTACGGTTGCCACGTCTGTTAGCCATTGAAGACGAGTGGAAGAGCGGAAGCGTGAGCTGCATTAAACATGATTTTGCGAAAAGCGTCGGATTGATGAAAAATGCTTCGAGTGTGATGTCTGTTGTCACAGTAGGCCGGCGAACTAGAGCCAAGACAATCGCTCCACTTCGACATTCCGAAATCGGAAGTGTCGCTTCCGAAGGTGACGCACCTCGCGAACTCGCATCGCCTCGCCGCTACACATATCACAGTCTACCATCTTGACCCAAAATGTCAACACCGACACTTCTAGAAGGGTTTCATAGTGCAGCTCCCTCCGCTCCATCAACCAAACTTCGGTACGCAGACGTACGCGCCCACCCATTCCCGTGTTGACGCGACTTGGCTGAACCAACACGTCGATGTATCCAGGTCGCCGTAACCGCAACCGCCAAAGAGTTCGCCGGTATCTATCGCGGCAAGCAATATCATGAGCCGGATTTCGATGCCGTGCTAGATCGCGCACTAGCCACCGGAGTAGAGAAAGTCATGCTGACAGGCATGTACGCATCCGACGCGTCTTTCAATCTCGGCATAGCGCGGAAACGACCGGAGCAATGCAGGGTCACAATCGGTGTTCACCCATACCATGCCGTCGAAGCAGACGAAGGCGGAGAAGAATACTACAAGGGCCTGTCCGACAGCATCACGACGACCATGAAACAAGAGCCCCATCTCTTAGCCGCTTTCGGAGAGCTCGGCCTCGACTACGACAAGCTGGCTGAAGCCCCAAAAGACGTTCAGATACGCGTGTTCAAGCGCCAGCTCGATATGATAGTAACCGCAGGTTGGAAGCTACCCCTGTTCCTCCACTGTCGCGCCGCGTTCGAAGATTTCATCGCTATACTCGGACCCTACATGGACCGGCTGCCTTTACGATCGGGCCTAGTCCACTCTTTCGTCGGTACTACAGCGCAGATGCGAACTTTGATAGACATGGGCCTACATGTTAGTGTTAACAATTTCGCTTTCCGAGATCGCGATAGCTTGGATATGACCAGGCATGTGCCATTGGATAAGCTCCAGATTGAAACGGATGCCCCTTGGGGTGATATCCAAGCGTCTAGTGAAGTAGCTAAAGCGTATTTGAAGAATGCGACGAAGTGGTCTTGGGGGAGCAAGAAGAAGGATAAGTTCAGTATGGGTGATATGGTGAAGGAGAGGAATGAGAGTTGCAATGTGGAGAAGGTGGCGTTGGTTGTTGCGGGGATTAAGGGTGTTGGTGTTGAGGAGGTTGCGGAGAGGGCGTGGGGGAACAGTGTGGATATGTTCTTTTCGCGTTAGGAAAAGCGTATTCTTCACTCCAATTTCCACGTCTCGACGGCATTGGATGAAGGGTTTCGATGAAATGCGATGGTAAGAACCTAAAACAATAAAGCCTTGACATTCCCGCCCGACTATGAATCCTTTACTTCGTGCCATTCGTGCCATTTGCACCGTTCCCATTTGTCGCCGACCCATTCGTCAGTCCCCCATTCGTCCTAATCCCATTCGACTTCGTCCCATTCACCGCAGTCTTCTTCGCCCTCGGTACCTCAACAAGCACCTTATACGTCTTCCCAGCCGTAACATTCTTGACAACGCATCCCTCGACCTCCTCCCCATCAACCACAACCTTGACATCCTTAACATCCCCCCTCTTAATCTGAACATCAAACACTGCACCCCTAAACTCCCTCCTCACCTTCATCTCCTCCCAATCACTCGGCATCTTCGGCGCAATCTTCAGACCCTCCCTTACACCCCTCAACCCACACAGCCCCTCAATGAAACACCTATACACCCAACTCACAGTCCCAGTATTGAACAACTGACTCGAGCGACCAGCCGTGCGGTCCAGATGCTTAATCCCATACCCACCACGGTAGTAGTTAGGAATGAAAATAGGGAGTTGGCCCCGACGAACCAGATCCTCTTCATCAGGACCGGGTATCATAGCGCGGAGCGTAGCGTACGCGCGGTCCACTTCATCGATGCCGTAAAGGGCCCAGGCGTAAAAGGCAGCAGCGTGGTTGTACACGGAGCCGTTCTCGCCTTGACCCGGGTACTTCTGCGTTACGCGACCGACGTCTTCGCGCATGGCGGTGAAGGGCGGGCCGAACATGACGACGCCGTAGGGCGTTGTGAGTTGCTCGTCGACCTGGGGCAGGATTTTGGAGATTTGCTCTGAGGAGGCTGCGCCGCCGAGGATGGACCAGGCTTGTGGGTTCAGCCAGATACGACCTTCTTTGTCGTCTTTGATGCCGAAGGTTACGTTGTCGTCTGTGATACCGCGGGCAAACCAGTCGCCGTCCCAGAGGTGCTCGTTAGCCGATTCGTTGACTTGTTCAGCGCCGGTGCGGTATTTCTTCGCGATCTCGGGTTTGTCGGCGTCTTCGCAGATTTGCGCCCATAGATTTACGGCGTAGGCGGTTGCGACGGTGAGCCAGCCTGATACACCGACGCCTTTGGGACCGACCATGTTCATCGGGTCGCACCAGTCGCCCTGCGCGATGTAGGAGAGTCCGCGGTCGTCTCGCGCGTTTGAGGAGAGCAGCCAGTCCATGGCGCGGCTGAAGCGCTCGAAGACTGTGAATGTGTCGCCGTACATGCTGGTCACCTTTTCGTCTAGCAGCGCGTAGTCGCCGGTTTCGCTCAGGTAGATCTCTAGGGCGATGGGTAGCCAGACGCAGTGGTCGGTGTGAGGGATTTGGTTGATGTACTTCAGTACCGCTCCCTTGGCTAAGAGGATACCATCTGGCATGGAGCCGTTCTTCTCCTGCTGACCGACTGCTGTCGTGATGGCTTTGCGCGCTACTTCTGGCTTGATGAAGCTCATGCCCATGTTATCTTGGAGATAGTTTCGCGTTTGCGGATCGGTCGTAAGCCTGTTTACGTCGCCGTGGTAGTACAGTTGTCGGGGTAGCCAGTTGTTAACCAGGTTGTCGAGATCTTTGTCCGGAGTCTCGAGACGTACGCAACCGCTGCCACGCTGGATGTAGTCTTCGTAGTCTTTAGCGGCTTTCGCAAAGGCCATCTTGTTGAGGTATTTCTTGCGCATGTCGAGAATCTCGGCTTCGTCGTATGCAGGACCGAAAAGGAATCTGTACTCTTTGCTTTCGTTCTCGCCTAGATCAGCCCAGTATTGAACAACTGCGGTCGGGGTTTCGTAACGGGCGTCGCTATTCGAAAGCTGAGACTCTCTCAGTGCTGATGGCGCTTGTAGGCCTCCTTCGCCTTCGAAAGCTTCTTGCTTCGCTTCCCATGAGACTGGTGTAGTTTCGCAGAGGAAGTAGGTCTTGTCCTTCAGATACTTCGTCTTCGGGTAATCCTCCGCTTTTTGATACGGAGTCTTACAGCTCCCAACCACGCCCCCAACGTTCGTATTCCACTCCGCCTCTTGGTTCATCCATGACATGTAGCCCAGTGGGAAGTAAGGATAGATACTCAGGTTGCGCTTGCGACCTGAGATGTTGGTCACCTTGATGCTCCAGAGTTCAGCCACATCGTCGGTGGGTAGTAAGAAGGTCATCTCGACACGAATGCCGGACTTCTCCACAAGCCATTTGATGTCGCTTTTGCCTACATCGAAGGTGAAGCGATCCAACTTTGCCCTTACCGGCTCATACGGCGCCGAGAAGATCTCGCCGTTTTCCTCATCCTTGATGTATACGAACCGGCCAGGGTGGTGAGCATAGTAGTTTTGCTCCGGTTGCATAAAGGTCTTCGCTTCGAGGTTGGGCGCGTAGGCATATTTCGCGGGCTCGGGTTGCATGTATTGAGCAGTTGCAAAACCACGACATGTGACCTGAATCATCATACGTTGGTTCCAAAGGAATGCACCCGCTTTGGGCATCTCCGTGGGGCTTGTGAGCTCATAGCGCTCGCCATTTTGGGTAGGTTGTATCATGGTGGGAATGTGAACAAGGATAGTACCTGTGATCTCCGCGGGAAACTTTTATACCACGACGGGATGGTTGGTTATACAGGGACGTGACGGCCGACATGGCTTTAGGAGGCGTAGCTTACTGTGTTTAGTGACACTGCACAAGTCAATTGGAACGCAAGACCAATGCGGAATCAAAACGCGTGACAGGCACAAAGTCTTAGCGTTTCTGCTGATTTAGTCTACAGCGGGAGTGTCAAACTCGATGCTCGTGGACAAGATTGCTAGCAAGGCAAACGAAGGTCGTCGATACTCCTATGAGAAGAAGCAGCAAGAGCGCAAGCTTAGGATGACCTTGAAAACGAAAGTCCGACCAGCGTGCAAATCGTAAAAAGGACGACGAGGGATTTTCGCACGTCAGTCATCTGTTCCTCCATGGTTCATATAAGGTACACAGCACAATAAGCCGCACCGCGTGGGGCTAAGCGAATGGCGGTGTGGGGTTCAGCCTGAAAGGGTACAACGTAAGCGCGGAGACGGTTGCCCGGACCGCAACGCCTTTAGCCAGCCGTGAGGCAATACTGCGAGTCCCAACATGTCGAAAACTCAACGATCTTCGCATCGTCAATATGCGCACACGATCCGGGTTGCGCAATCCGAGCAACCGATTAGTGTGGGACAGCAGCGAAGATAACGGAAAGTGTATGGTGGCGTCTGCGCCGATGTGCCGAAAGCAGTGTGTCAGCTGCTCGCAAGATTGTGTGATCACGGGTAACAAGGAAGGGTATACCGTGCCGGCGCCGATATCCGTTGTATCCACAGCCACTGACATTAATTGTGACCAAGACTCGCTACCGGTTCCCCCATCCCGGGTATGCCCAGTGCTGCAGCCCTGCAGAAGGTGTTGGGTATCGTGAAGTGTCAATTTGTTCTTGGCTGTCATTGGTACGTGTGAAATATTGGGTGATGCAGTCAGACTGACGAAAAAAGCAAAGAGCGGGAAGGGTGGGGTGAATTACCATGACCAGCGATCAAAACACTATCGCAACACTGAACATGATACCAAACCTCCATGCCGGCCAGGACGATGTCAAAGCCGAGTCACCGTTTGCCAATTGGCGCAAAACTCTACTCGGCGGCCTTCAACGCCGCACCATTTTCACCCCAGCTCTCTTTAGCGGCTTCGTGCTGTAAAGTTGCTTTGCCCGATGTCTTCGTGATTTTGACATACTTTCCAGTCTCGGGGAATGCTTTCTTTGTGGCGACTGGAATCGGGTCTTTGTCCCACCACGATGGGAGAGCTGGAACACTTGTTCGCCAGAACCGCGCAGTCCCATCGCCGTCGACACTAAGGTAAACATCCTGTTCTTCCTTGTCTAGAAACATGCCGCATAGACTGCCCGCAACGTAGCTAGCCATCGTGCCAGCAGGTCGCCAAAACAGCTCTTTCGCGTTGCTTTCGGTGTCGTAGATCAGGGTTGATCCTTCGTCCGACTCAATACCCAGTAGTCGACCTTCGTTCATCCATAGAACAGCATGGATCTCAGACATACTCAGTCGTTCTTTACCCTCGATCTTGTAATGCTGAAGTACCTTGCCATTGGGACCATCCAGCGGGTTCCAGACATATGCTTCTTTACCAGCGCAAAGCGCAATCTCCGACCGCGTTGGATGCCAGTCAAAGCACCGGCACCAGCGGGAAAATTTCTCTGGCATAACTGCTACCTTTCGCCCGTCTAAGACATCGTGAACCTGCACCACTGAGCCACTCTTAGTACTCCAGACGATGAGCTTTGAGTCTGGCCTATAGGTTGGTAAGCTAAGTTAGCACATGTCTTACGTGTAGTATGTACTGGAGTAATGCTTACGAGAATGCACCGGCCCAACTTTGACCACCTGATTTGTCTGTAGTCCAAATGAGAGCCCCAGTCGAGACGGAATACATGCGTAGCGAGCCATCCCAAGACACGGTGGCAACACACTCCATGTCTGGGCTCATAGCCGACCACATGATGGCATCCGTGTGTCCAGCAAGGCGATGCATCTCCTTACCTGCTTCGACATCATAGATAACGACGAGCGGCAAGTCTTCTGCTGGGCGCATGCCGCTTTGAGTCGAACTGTTGTGCGAACGGTACAGCATCAGTCTGCCGTCCTTGCTGAAGCATTTAGACCCGAACCCGCCCAATGCCGCGTTATCAATGATGGTGTTGTGGCGCCTGCTATGGTCGGCGGCTACGTGACTGAGCGCTTTCACGAACTCTGTATGGAGCGAGGACGCATCGATAAATTCCCTGGTCCATTCGTGGTTTGCTGAAAGCTCGGGGGCAATTGCATCGATAGCTTTCGTGGCCCAGACGGAGGGATCGATCGGCTCTTCTTTGTCGAGTATGCGTCCGTTTTGGTCTAGATCCCAAAGAATGAGCTGATCGGTCGTTCGCTGGCGGCGCTGAGTCTCATCGAGGACGGAGCTCACAAGGGTGTAGCCAGGCCTCGGAGTCCCTGCACCGGAGGTTTGCTCGATCTCTGCATGACTCTGTCCATTGGCATCAGAAGGCCGGAACGCCACCGATCCAGCTCCTTCGAGGACCTCGCACAGCTGCCGGGTCTGGATGTGGTATATCAAGATTCGCCCCACATTACTGCTGATGGCCAGCAACTTCTTGTCAGAGCTCACAGCAGTATCGTATTCTTGGTATGTAACCTCTTCTCGTTGTGGCAGATCGGCTCTGAAGTTAATGACATCGCGCGTTTGCGACCACTCCTTTGGGTGACCAGAGGCATATTGAGCGGGGACGCCAGCACGTTCAAAATCTTTCGCCGGTTTGAAAGGGAAGGCATACTCCTCCTGGAAGGTTTCGCGCGTATAGCATTGCATATTGAGGATGAAAGTCGACAGATGAAGTTGTGCGAGTCCATGTTCTCTTGTTGAAGATGGCTGCCTAGCCAGGCGAAGCGGGCATGGATCGGCGGATGACGTGAAGGTGCGCGGAGACCAATCATGGCTGAGAACTAACAATTTTAGGATCGAATCTGGTATTACGCCTGACTGTGGTGTAGCAACCACATATTAGGCAACCAGATGAAGACCTGGAGAACCGGCAACCACGGCACGTTGCCGAGAAGAGGATAAGAAAATGTATGAGCTGAAACGAAACGTCAATCCCGCCTATACCGTGCGCCCATCGATGCTCAACTGCTCCGAGGACCAGGAACAAAGAGGATGCAGCAGCAGGGTAAAGCCGCCAGATAGGCTCATTGCCTCAACATCACCGACGAGCTGTCACCGCAGAGCGGATCAGACCCATCGGGACGCATCAGCATTACTCTCGGGCGTTGCCTTTGTTCAGCAGCCATTCATCTGGAGATGGAGGGAGAGCCCCGGCTACTGAACCCACAAACGCAGTCCGAGGACTGCGATTGCGAAACGCCCGCTGACGTCAACTTTGTCAGAATGGTTAGTACGCAGACCGAACAGACGATGCCTGTGAAGCAGCGCGCCGGTTCGCGAATAAGTTCTGTAGACGTTGTCCTAGCATACGTGACGCGATGTTAATAATCCATGTCGTGGAGATGGTTTGTCGCGTCAAGACGCGTCGTCGCACGCGACTGCGACAGCAAAGTCACATTAGTTTCGAGGGATGCGTGCATCGGATATCGTAGCGGGGGACGAATGCGACACAATATACGGTCATCGATGCCCGTGATTGCGGTTATGCTGAAGAAATGCGTGCGATAGAAGGTGGCAAGGTTGATCGCAGCATCAGAGACGCCCTCGGGAAAAGGCTTGGCGACTAGTATGGCCGCTAGGCTCCTTTAGACATGGCACCCATCCGCTTCAACACAAACCTGCCCCCACATCAGCATCGGACGAGATGGCTATTCCGACTATATTATACACAGTAGTGCATTCAACAGATCTTGTAGATTCCCCTGCTCCTTCAATCACCCATCCCACCAACACCACCACCATCATCTACGCCCCTTCATCCTCACTATCCGTGGACCGCTCACTATCCTCATCCCACAACTCCCGATCCACGTCCCCATGATGCCCCGCATAAGTCGGATACCGATGCCCCAAAAACTTCCTCCTCTTACACCTTGGACAATCAGCACAAGGATCATCGTCCTCGTCATCCGATACCAAAGTGTGATCCTGAATCCGATAATACTTACCATCTTCAGGATCGTAAACACGCTTGCCTTCCGCCTCCTTCTTTTCTTCTGCTTCCTTGATATCACGGCCGAAGTTGAGAATGCATTGGGCGACGTGTGAGAATAGGAACTTTTCCGGGGGCCAGTTCTTGTAGAGGTCGAGGGGATCGTAGTGGGTTCCGCTTCCGATGGAGAGGGTGAAGTCTTTATTTTCTTTTGCAAGGCGTGCGAGGCAGACGTCGCCGCCGCGAGTTGTGATGTCAGCACTTGTTCTTGGGTCTCTGTCGAAGATACCGAGGGCGGTTTGGGGTTCTTGTTGGACTTCGAAGATGACCTTTTGGATCGCGTCGTGTGCTTTTCGCAAAGGAGATGCAAAGGCTTTGTCGTCTTTTGCTATGCAGCCCCAGTGCTCCTCGTCGGCGGCGGCGCCTTCCAGGATAAAGATACCCATCCGCGGATCTTGGCTCCATTTGCTGTCCCAGGAGGCGTCTGTAAAGAGGGAGCGTTCGAGGTGGTGCCAAACTTTTGCGCATTGGTCTTGCAGAGCTTGCCAGCTGAAGTAGAGGTCCATGGCATCGCCTTCAAGCCAGTAAATAAGGTCGCGGAGGAGGGCGGTAGGGCCGTTGTCATTTGCGGAGTGCTCTTCAATGTATGGGCGCCAGCGTTGGCTTGCTAGTGTCCACCATACCATGTCGCGCTCTCTGTTGAACTTTTTGGCTAGGCGGACCAGCTCTGTTTCCGATCGAAGGGTGTTGTTGAGTTGTCTGACTTTATCTATGTTTGGATATCGAACGTTAGTGTCTTGCTGATAAGCTGCTCACGTTAAGTGTGTACGTACCGTCAACAGCTGCGTCGGTAGTTGCCCA